CCCCCCCCCCCCCCCCCACAGGTATGCAAACAGCACAGCAGACTGGATTGATGCAGATCACAGCTCACCTCCCCCACTACATTATGAATTGCAGATTCCCCCCACGTCTCATGTGCTGAGGATGTGCCCCCCTCCCATGAAGAAGGCGGTGTGTAGGGGGCGGGTCACGGGGGTGTTGTCCCATCCTCCTGCTCTGATTGGACGAGGCGCACCTCCTAAATAAGGACATTTGCACCTTCTTGGGTGGCGCTAGGAATAGAAGAGACGATCGCTGAGCCTGGCACACACCGTGCGCTGTGCGGACCGCCTGGGGGGGGGTCGCTGGATTCACTCGTTGCGAATTATTTTTGGAACCTACGGCAGAAAAACACAACGTCACACACTCTTCATCATCGTCATCCCCTCCCCCACTACAGAACAGGAGCTTCCACTACTACTACCGATCCGAGCATTGGAGACAGAAGAGTCGCTGCGTTCTGCATTCACCCCGGGATGGCGTTGGATTTCTTGGCTGGATGCGCAGGAGGTGAGAGATTCCCATCTATGGACAATGGGGTACAGGATGTGTGTGAGATACTGTAACCCCCCCCCAGCAGCCAATCAGCGAGCATTGTCATTGTTCTCCGGGTTCTAGACCGATGGAAGGGGGAAGTCTGGGCTCTGCTGCAGCTGGCTGCTCTCTCCCTCTGCAGAAGGTGCTGCCGGGGGGATTCTCCTGACCGATGAGGAGACATGGGCCGGGGTCGGGGTTCGAACCTGTGTTTTCTGTGATGGTTGCAGTAAGAGACAGATGGATCATGGGGTGGCTAGCTTTATGGGGTGATCATATTATACATGGGGTGGCTAGCTCTATCTATGGGGTGATCATATGCATGGGATGGCTAGCTCTATCTATGGGGTGATCATACGCAAGGGGTGGCTAGCTCTATCTATGGGGTGATCATACGCAAGGGGTGGCTAGCTCTATCTATGGGGTGATCATATGCATGGGGTGATCATATGCATGGGATGGCTAGCTCTATGGGGTGATCATACGCATGGGATGGCTAGCTCTATGGGGTAATGCTACCTATGGGATGGCTAGCTCAATGGGGGTAGTGCTACCTATGGGATGGCTAGCTCAATGGGGGTAGTGCTACCTATGGGATGGCTAGCTCAATGGGGGTAGTGCTACCTATGGGATGGCTAGCTCAATGGGGGTAGTGCTACCTATGGGATGGCTAGCTCAATGGGGGTAGTGCTACCTATGGGATGGCTAGCTCAATGGGGGTAGTGCTACCTATGGGATGGCTAGCTCAATGGGGGTAGTGCTACCTATGGGATGGCTAGCTCTATAGGGTAATGTTACACATTGGATAGCCAGCTGAAATCGGGTGTTCCTACATGGGATGGCTGACTCTGTAGGATAATCAAACACATGGGATGGCTAGCTTTCTGGGGTAATCATATGCATGGGATGGCTAGCTCAATGGGGTGATAATAATCACAGGACGGCTAGCCCTATAGTGTGATCATACACATGAGATGGCTAGCTCTATCTGCTGATCATATACTGTACATGAGATGGCTTACTCAATGGGTCATGGGGTGGCTATCTCTATGGGGTGCTCATACACATGGCATGGCTTTCTCTATGGGGTGATCATACACATGGCATGGCTTTCTCTATGGGATGATCATACACATGGGATGACTTGCTTAATTGGATCATCGTACATAGATGTCTTGCTGCCCGGCATTCTTGGTCATCCTTTACTAATGAGACGTCAGGATCTGCCGCTAAGGTGGTTTGGGTCAACCAGGCCTTTCAAGGTGCATTCAGTCACAGGTGGGCCTACATGTTGGGAAATAAGAAAAAAAAAGTGTTTATAGCGTTTACAGATTCTTTATACCCTTACCCCATTGGTCGCAACAGACAGACAAATTGGTTGAATTGCATTCTTTTTTAGGGTCAACGTCTGGCCATACTGGGCATATTGATAAGGATGGTCAATATGAGTCCTGATCTTTGGTTTCTCCAGTAACCCATGGCATTTTTTTCTTCCTTGTTTGGCCAATGTTTGACTATGGTTCATTTTACATGGAGACTGCTCAGTAACAGTGATATTGCAGTGTGCAATACAGAAGTCATCAATCAGTCATGATGATTCTCCAGTGTGGCGGACAATTTCTGCTGAAGGTGGCAAACACAACCCACATTCCAAGGCGCTTAGTAGTGCTTAGGAGTATCCCATGAACTGCTTGATAGTCATCAATGCTCAAGTCATTCATACCAACTATTAGCACATGGCTATAGAATAGGATTGGCCAACCTGGATTCCTGAAGCTACCGATGAACTAGAAGCCCCAGTGTGCCAGCCTGTAGAATGGTGTCCATACACAAGTCAAATGATCTGGCCATGTAGTCACAGACTGGGATAGTCTCCACATCTGAAGAAGAACCACAAGCCTTATCAATAGGCTGCCCATTAGATAGATCGTGATCTACCAGTAGCTCTCAACGTTGATGCTGGTAGATCACGAAGGGTATGAATGGCGGCGCCTTTATTCCATTTTGGTATATTTATTTAGCCTCCACACATGATTACCTATCAGCCTGAGTCTGCTGAGCCAAGCTCCCTGACACCTTTCTGGTGGATTCTGGTGGTTGAAGTGCTATGTATTACATCAAAGAATTTTCGTTTACACAGCCTGTTGCACTGCACTGTTTGCAAAATACAGCAAGGTGAGTGGAGAGAGACAGCCAGGAGGATGAGCAAGGAGAGACAGCCAGGAGGATGAGCAAGGAGAGACAGCCAGGAGGATGAGCAAAGAGAGACAGCCTGGAAAGAGAGAGCGAGGAGAGACGGCCAAGAGAGAGAGAGAGAGAGCGAAGAGAGACGGCCAGGAGGATGAGCGAAGAGAGACGGCCAGGAGGATGAGCGAGGAGAGGCGGCCAGGAGGATGAGCGAGGAGAGGCGGCCAGGAGGATGAGCGAGGAGAGGCGGCCAGGAGAGAGAGAGCGAGGGAGGTTTTTTTTTCGTTGGTAGATCTCAATTAGATCGTCATTTGAAAAGTAGATCTTAACACAAAAAATTGTGGGCACCCCTGCCTTAGCATGTCCTACTAGACTGCTTTTGGATAGCTTACTAGTTCCCCCAATTGTGGGAGTGAGACAAGCTTTCCATGGTCTGCTGGTCTGTCACAATGGTCGTCTTTTCCCAATGTTCAGAGTCTATCTTTTGGAGAATCAGTCCTAGTTTTATTTTTCTGAATGCTGCACCATTCAAGCTGGTGATATTCTTTGTGTCCTCACATGAAACCATGTATTTAGGAATCAGCATTGCAGCGTGGTGTTCCATGTGTATCAGAACACCTGTCCGGCCTGGATGTGCCACTGGAAAAAAAAAATTGCTTAATAATGTTGCACGTCTTCTTTATACACTGGAGACTCTGCTCCGCCATAGACTGTGCACGGTGTGGAAGACTGTGTGTCCTACACTCAACAGATCCAATATAAAGGATGTACACAGCTTTACTAAGACTTTGTTATATCAATACAGAATAGGAAGAATCTGCTTCAGCTATACAATGTCATGTCTGACCGCATGGTGCTATCAGCTGTAACGCCAGCCATAGAAAATAAATTGTGCAGTGGAGTATGTTAATGTCTGTGGGAGGAGAGCGGGCAGGCACCCCACCGTGCCGGCTTATCCAGAGAGGACATTCATTGTAGAAGAATCCGGCACAACCTATTGATGGTTCCTTGGCTTTTTCTGCTGCTTCCTTCTACGTGATGACTGCATGATCATCTCATGACTGTAGGAACATTAAGGCCCCACAGTTATGGGCAATTTTCCGTGAGATGCACGGGAGATCTTTTACCTGCCGTTCCATTTGCTAGATCTGCAAATTTAGATTAAAACCGAGATTTTTCAGTGTTTTTGGAATGTTCTGCATATCGTTGAATATTAATTTTGCTTATTTGTAAAGACTTGCTATGAGATTATTGTTATCTGTGATTCAATCCATCACGCTGGTTACCAAATTTCCATCTGCACACGGCAGACTAGGATCACGCAGGCGATTTTTCGCTAAGATCGCTGGTCATAAATCTCTTGCAGGTCTATTCACTAAAAGGGTGAAGAGTTTGGAGCAGACAGGAGAAGTGAACAATCTAGGACAACACAGCTGAACAGGAAACATTATCCAATTCAGCTAACTTTCCAGCTCCGCTATGTTGTCCTAGATTTTTCACTTCTCCTGCCTTCTCCAAACCCTTCACCCTTTAGTGAATAGCCCTGTAGGCATATCGAATGCTACACATATGGAACAAATGGCTTCCTATGGAGTGAGGTACACAAGTAGCTTGTAGCATATGGAGCACTGCATGCTACTTGTGCACCTCATTCCACAGTGAGCAATGTGTTCCATATGTGTATGTGTAGCAATTGATCCCTATTGCATGGGCGAGCTATGTGCCCCTGGGCAAATTCCCAGTGATTGGGACAAACCTACCTCTGTGTGCCAATGGACAAGGGTGGAGTGCTATGGGCACCTTTTTGTCTCCAGGAAAACAGGGAAAGGCCATCTAATAGTGCTTGGTCAGGGAGGTTCGTGACGGGGGACAAACAAACATGCCAATGAAATCATGCTTCTGGTTCTCTAATGGTTGCAGGCACTTTACTGTTACCGTGCAGTGCAGTGGATCTCTCAAGGATCCATTCACGCTAAATATGGTAACATGCGGCACTATACAATGTGCATTACAGTGCAGTGCCATTCATTTAGATTGACACCCCAATACACTTGTACAGTAGCTGGCAATGCACCTGCAGTACAGCACACTACAACGCAATGTGTGCTGTGGTTTGCTGCATTGGTAACAGTGCTGCAGCTGCATTGATTTAGTGCTTTGAGGTGGGCTGGCAGCCTTTATGCACAAATGTGTTGCATGCATTGATGCAATGCATGCTGTGAATGGGTCCTGATGGTATACCTGCTCCCCACCCCTCCCTCCTAAACCAAAATCAACCATCCACATGCTGCCACTGAGTTACACCGGAACCTTTTGGATTGTACATCATTCCATGCCAATGGTACTAGTTGGAATAAGGCCGGCTGTAGCTGTGCTAGCATTAGACCAGCAGCTGACCCATTGATCTCCCCTTGTAAAAAGTAGGCCATCGTTCTACAGTGCACCAGGCTACAGCGTCACTGGACGTAGGGAAGGATACGCTGTGTATACTAATCCTCACAAGATTAGGCTGTTTATTGACTGTTACGTAGGTGGCACGTAGGTTATGCCATTGACGCTGGCACTGGCGGTGTGACTCATGCTATTTGCCCTGTCGGTTTCTGTTTCCTGTCTTTTACAAGCTGCTGCAGTGTTCAGTTGTAATTCAGGTTGCTATTCGTACGTTGGCTGAAGACAGGCACGTGGGTTACTGTGCTGGACACGGGCAGCAGATTTTATAATGCAAACATTGAACAACTAAAGGCAAACACGTCAATCACCCAACGGTTCACTTTGGCATTCTTTGGAGT